CCCCCGAGGGGGACCCCACCCAGCTGCAGTAAATGGCCGCCGCCAATCGGGCGTGTAGTTGGTGAGATATGTGAGGAATGCATTAGCGTAGTCGGACAAGCCGGGTCAATAACAACAGGACAAAACAGTACAGAACAGTAGACAGAGAATCCACAGGTCACGGGCCCGGGTTCAGCAACAGAAGGTCAGAATCAAAGGGAAACGCAGGAGAATGGTCTTAGTCACAAGCCGAGTCAGAATACCAGAAGAGTCACGAGCGTATACACAGAGCTGTAGCAAGACCAAGACACAAGACAACCACACAAGTGCAAAGAGCATGTGCAGATCCCAGGCTTATATGTACTCAGCCACACCCCTCCTGGGGGATGGACCTCAGGAGACCTGAAGGCATAAAAGATTCCCATCATGCTCAGCAGAAATCCAAGATGGATGCTAGCACATGGAGTAACATAACCTCTGGGAAAAGGTAGAGGACCTTGACAGTTTCAGAGAAATACAGAGAGTAGAGCTTAGGTGTCAGTTGCTCTTTAACATTTCTTTTGTTTCCAAGGGTGGGAAAGGTGTCTGGTGGAGGGAGTCATTAAGGCCACCTGGCAGGGGGTCTTCATGAGTAATTTGAGGTGTGAATGGTCATTAACATATCTTTTGTTTCCAAGGGTGGGTCTGAGGTGTGAGGTCAAGGGTGGGAGAGGTGTGAATTTGTCATTAACATATCTTTTGTTTTCAAGGGTGGGAGAGGTCTGAGGTGTGAATTGGTCATTACAATGTGTGACATGCTTAGGAATATCCTGTGTTCAGTGTTTTGTCTATCTGAGTACCTTGAAAACACTTTGCATGCATTTTTCATGATGAAAAAAGGCTCTGGACAGCATCAGGAACTGGAGTTTAAAAACAATTTTCAAATGCAGCTGCTTATAAACGCGATTTGCCGTGTTTACAAAAGTTTTGCGTTTGAAACACTGAAAAATCGACTGCTTTATGCAAGTTTTCTACGTTCAAAAAACCGACTGTTAACTCAACTGCTTGTAAATGACTGTAAATGACGATGTGTACATGGAGACATAGGAGAACATTAGGGAGAGTTCAGGGGCTGCTGAGAAATGCTGAACAGCTCCTAAACGTGAGTTTATCAGCTGCAGTGTACATTATTATTATTATTATTATACAGGATTTATATTATTATATACAGGATTATATTATTATACAGGATTTATGGCGCCAACAGTTTGCTCAGCGCTTTACAATATAACGGGAGACAATACAGCAACAATACAGTTCAATACAAGAGGGATATGAGGGCCCTGATCCCTTGAGCTTACAATCTACGGGTGTACATGAGCCCTTATCTTTGAAAAAAAACATTAAAGAACGGAATTAATTATTAAATGTACCTATTTGATGTGAAACTTCTGCTTGCTTTTTTTTCTGCACAGATGCTTAAAGTGATATTAAAGGCAATTATAAAAAAAAAACAGACATGTTCTACTTACCTGCTCTGTGCAGTGGTTTTGCACAGAGCAGCCCCGATCCTCTTCTTCTCGGGTTCCCTGACGAGGCTCCTGGCCCCTGCCGAGTGCTCCCAGAGGAAGCAGCTTGCTATGGGGGCACCCAAGCAGGCTCGCTCCCGAGCCACGGCTCTGCGTGTCCATTCATGGCTCCCGCTGCTGTCTCAGCTCACGAGGAGGGCAGGTCCCCAAAGAGCCAAGGCTCTTGTGCAAATTGCTGGATTGCAATGGGGCTCAGGTAAGTATTAGGGGGGCTGCTGGTCACAGAAGGTTTTTTTAGAATGCATGAAGGTAAAAATCCTTGAGCATTTACAACCACTAATTTTGGGTCAAACTTGGGATAAGCAATGCACAGGGAGTTAGGGGGGCACACTACATGGGGATCAGCAGGGCAGAGCACAGGGTGTTTTTACTGCCCCTTCCAAACACAATTGTAAACTAATCCTAAATTTATTTATTTCAGGTACTTATATAGTGCAGTCAATTTACACAGCACTTTACATGTATACAGGTGAGACTCGAAAAATTAGAATATCGTGCAATAGTTTATTTATTTCAGTGCAGCAACTTAAAAGGTGAAACTAATATTTGAGATAGACTCATTACATAGCAAGATAGTTCAAGCCGTGATTTGTCATCATTGTGATGATTATGGCTTACAGCTCATGAAAACTCCAAATCCACAATCTCAGAAAATGAGAATATTCCATGCAATGAATAAAACAAGGATTGTACATAGAACAATATCGGACCTCTGAAAAGTAGAAGCATGCATATGTACTCAGTACTTGGTTGGGGCCCCTTTTGCAGGAATTACTGCCTCAATGCGGCGTGGCATGGAAGCTATCAGCCTGTGGCACTGCTGAGGTGTTATGGAAGACCAGGATCCTTCAATAGCGGCCTTCAGCTCTTCTGCATTGTTCGGTCTCATGTCTTTCATCTTTCTCTTGGCAATGCCCCATAGATTCTCTATGGGGTTCAGGTCAGGCGAGTTTGCTGGCCAATCAAGCACAGTAATCCCACGGTCATTGAACCAGGTTTTGGTGCTTTTGGCAGTGTGGGCGGTGCCAAGTCCTGCTGGAAAATGAAGTCAGCATCCCCATAAAGCTTGTCTGCGGAAGGAAGCATGAAGTGCTCCAAAATCTCCTGGTAGACGGCTGCGTTGACCCTGGACTTAATGAAGCACAGTGGACCAACACCAGCAGATGACATGGCTCCCCAAATCAACACAGACTGTGGAAACTTCACACTGGACTTCAAGCATCTTGCAGTGTGTGCCTCTCCATTCTTCCTCCATACTCGGGGTCCTTGGGCCTCTCCATTCTTCCTCCATACTCGGGGTCCTTGGGCCTCTCCATTCTTCCTCCATACTCGGGGTCCTTGGGCCTCTCCATTCTTCCTCCATACTCGGGGTCCTTGGGCCTCTCCATTCTTCCTCCATACACGGGGTCCTTGGGCCTCTCCATTCTTCCTCCATACTCAGGGTCCTTGGGCCTCTCCATTCTTCCTCCATACTCGGGGTCCTTGGGCCTCTCCATTCTTCCTCCATACTCGGGGTCCTTGGGCCTCTCCATTCTTCCTCCATACTCGGGGTCCTTGGGCCTCTCCATTCTTCCTCCATACTCGGGGTCCTTGGTTTCCAAATGAGATGCAAAAGTTGCTCTCATCAGAAAAGAGGACTTTGGACCACTGAGCAGCAGACCAGGTCTGTTTTTCTTTAGCCCAGGTAAGACTCTTCTGACGTTGTTTGTTGTTCAGGAGCGGCTTGACAAGTGGAATACAACATTTGAAGCCCATGTCCAGAATCAGTCTGTGTGGTGCTCTTGATGCACTGACTCCAGCCTCAGTCCACTCCTTTTAAAAGTCCCCAACACTTTTGAATGGCCTTTTCCTGACAATCCTCTCCAGGCTGCGGTCATCCCTGCTGCTTGTGCACCTTTTTCTTCCAGACTTTTCCCTTCCACATAACTTTCTATTAATGTGCTTTGATGCAGCACTTTGGGAACATCCAACTTCTTTTGCAATTACCTTTTGAGGCTTTTCCTCCTTATGGAGGGTGTCAGTGATGGTGTCAGGTCAGCAGTCTTTCCCATGATTGTGATTCCTACTGAACCAGACTGAGAGACCATTTAAAGGCTCAGGAACCCTTTGCAGGTGTTATGGCTGAATGAGCTGATTAGAGTGGAACACTTTGAGCCGAGAATATTCCACCTTTTCACAATATTCTCATTTTCTGAGATTGTGGATTTGGGGTTTTCATGAGCTGTAAGCCATAATCATCACAATGATGACAAATCACGGCTTGAACTATCTTGCTTTGCATGTAATGAGTCTATCTCATATATTAGTTTCACCTTTTTAAGATGCATTGCACTGAAATAAATTTACTTTTGCACGATATTCTAATTTTTTGAGTTTCACCTGTATATAAAGAACCTAGTATTAGCATATGAGCACTTAATGTTGTCATTGATCTTTAGCAGTGGTGTATTTAGGTTTTGTGCTGCCCTAGGCAACACAAAAATTGGTGCTCCCCCCACAGAAAGATGCTGACATTGACCAAGAACACACCTGCCCTCCACCCTAGCCTTCCACTACCACTGCCCCCCATACACCAGCCACCATCCCCCATGGCGAGAAAGAGACACTCACCTTCACAGCTCCCAGGAACGAGAGTCGGGCTGTGCATATACCGTCATGAAACCCACAGCATCTCTCGGAACCCACCAGGTCCCCAATGCCGCGTGTATCCCTTCTTCCGTCCCTTCTTCCAAGGGGCAGTGCTGCCCCCACTGAAAAATGCTGCCCTAGGCAAATGCCTTGTTTGCTTTGTGGTAAATGCACCTCTGATCTTTAGTAAAACCAATAATTATTGTTTATTAAATATACTGTATGTAAATTTCACAGTCAACACGTGACATTGCCTTGGTCCTTTGCCACCGCCAACCCAAGACATTGCCTTGGCAATTGTCACATTGAACTCTTACTCCAGCTCTCAGACAAATGCGATGAAAGGTTTGCAGATTTCTGGAAATGCATGGCTTGTTGAGCCCCGTTTAGTGTTTACAGTCAGCGCGATTTCAAAGCATCTGTTTACTGAGGAGAAGTAGAACATAAATAATTGTCCTTTGCGAATGCTGAATCACAAGAACATTTCTTTCCAGGCCGCTTGATTAAACGCTGCGTGGCTTTTCCCTGAAATAAAATTACGATTCTGGAACAAATGTTCTCATCTGTTCCTGTAGAAGAAAGCAAAAATATATAAAATGATGAGTACACTGAGGTACCTTTGACTTGGGGTGCTCCCAGGGGCAGACTGACAACTCATGGGGCCCCCGGGCAATAGGGGATCATGGGGCCCCTGTGTCCTTGCCCAAACTCAAAAAAGCCTATGAAAAAGGTACCAGGGGCATCTCATGGGGCCTCCTACTTACCTCGGGCCCTCGGGCAGTGCCTGAGTTTCCAAATGGTCAGTCCGCCCCTGGGTGCTCCTATCCTTTTACATATTTTTCAGGCTACTCCGGGGACCCCCAAGTGGATGAAGAGCCTTAGGGCTCATTCACACTAGTGTTCTTCTCTGAGTTGTTTTATGTGTTGAGATCGATCCTCAGAGAGCATTTGACAGGCAGTGAGGAGGTGTTGTATTTCCTCCTGATCGCCTGCTTTAACCCGTTAAAGCGATAGACGGCGATTGCTGAAATATCTGGCCTATACATAAAATGGAAGTCTCTATTGATTATTCATGGCTGATGCCTTTAAGGCCTATCTCCAGTGTGAAGTCCAGCCAAAAACTAAAGAACGCCGCCACTGGACTCCAGTGCAAGGGAGATCTGTTCTATGGAGTGACCAATCACGCTTCTCTGTCTGGCAATCCGATGGGCGTGTCTGGGTTTGGTGGTTGCTAGGAGAACGGTAATTCCCTGACTGCATTGTGCCAAGTGTAAAGTTTGGTGGAGGGGGGATTATGGTGTGGGGTTGTTTCTCAGGGGTTGGGCTTGGCCCCCTAGTTCCAGTGAAGGGAACTCTTAAGGTGACATTTTGTACAATTTCATGCTCCCAACTTTGTGGGAAGAGTTTGGGGATGGCCCCTTCCTGTTCCAACATGACTGCACACCAGTGCACAAAGCAAGGTCCATAAAGACATGGAGGAGCCAGTTTTGGGTGGAGGAACTTGACTGTCCTGCACAGAGTCCTGACCTCAACCCCATAGAACACCTTTGGGATGAATTAGAGCTGAAACTGCGAGCCAGGCCTCCTCCCCCGAC